CTCATACTGAGAGGTATGTTTATCCCAAATTGGCAGGAGCTGTGTATTCAAGGGCAAATTTTGTTAACACTGGGGAGGGCGAATATTTGTATGTATGACCTCTTTTTTCTGCAACATTGTATTTGTGTTCACACTGACATGATTAATGCTATTATGGTCCAGTGTGCCCTGGGGTGGGGGGGCACAAGAGGCTCGTGTCTATACCCCATTTCAGTCAAACAGGCTGACTTGTTTGAATACTTGGACTTAACCGTGAAGATGCTGGCTTTCTGAATACTTCCAGGGAAATTACTGTCTGGGGCAGTCGTCCTCAAACATCAGTAAGCATCAGAACCACCTGGAGGGCTTGTTAAAACACAGATTTCTGGGCCCTGCTCCCAGAGTTTCTGATTCAGTAGGTCTGGGGAAAGGCCTGAGGTTTTGCATTTCGAGCCATTTCCAGGTGGTATTGATGCTCTTGGTCCAGGGACATGATCTAGGTAATCCATTGTTTCTGTGGGTAAAATGATCGCCCTTTAAGCAGATAAGTGAGAACTTTTATGTAAGTAGCCTCTCCATTCCATTTGACTAACTTTATCTTGTTTACAATGCACAGAAGTCAAAGAGAAAGCAAAGAGCGTTATTTTCACTGACTCTCCCACGGTGTAGAATGAGCCTATAGTTCATAATAAAGCAGACCTTCTGTGAGGCCTTGGCCTTGAGGGGTCTGTAAGTTTCGTATGGTTAGGGATGGCCAGAAACTGCTGTCAGCATAGGACACTAGGTGTGCAGAGAGTGGGTAGGGTGGGTATGGGACGAAAATACAAAGCATCTCTTCCCAGGAGTGACTGGGGCTCAGCCTGGCTTGGGGAAGGCAGCACTAATTTGGAGTCAAGGCAGAGGTGTACCACTCTCTAGGCATCATTCCTAATTCTCGAAGGGTTAAATGAGCCTTTTTACTGGGGTTCACAGAGCTCTTTAGAATCCTTTGGTGAGAGATGGTTTCAGTAGATATCTTGACTCACAAAGGCTACAATTCCCTCTTTAGTCTTTGAGGAGCTAAAATATATTATTCATACTTGGAGTGTTTTACTACTACTGTATCCGGTCTAGCTGTGTTCTTTCTGTTGTTGTTCATTATTTGAGACATTGTGACGAAAGAAGTTTAAGAAAAATTAAGAAAAACAGAATGGTAGAAAAAGATAGCAAGGTCTTTCCATGCTGGACTGTCTGATGGGAAATGGAAGGCTGAGTACCCCTCAGAAAAATGGTGGGGGTGGTGGGTTCCCAGGTCCATGGAAGGTCCCATAAGTAACACATGGCTGGATGAGTGACTGCTCTTTATGTTCCACTCATGGAAACCCTGTGCAGATAGCCATTGAGGAATAGAGTTTGGGGGCCAATGATGGGAATGGTATCTGCTAGCCTGGAGCCCAGTTATGCCGTACCTGCTCATCTAGAAAACACAAGTAGTTCTGCCATATGTAAAGGTCCCAACCTGAAATGATAAACCATAGCAATGGGCTTAATGATCATATCGTAGATTTTGGGAGGTCTACTCTCTGCAAGACATTTTGGGGGTAGCCTGAGACTGTGAAAAATTCCTACCTTCAGTAGGTTATTGAATTAACCAGTGTAGAAAGGGGTGCTGACTGAGAATGTGAATCAAGGAGACATAAGGCAGTAGAAAGGGTATAAACAATATTCTGTGGGGCTTCAAAGGAAGAGTTAGTGTCTCAAAGGAATTTTTTTTAAAAAGGCTGTCTAGAAGAGGGTGTATTTAAGATTGGCCTTGAGGGGTCTGTAAGTTTCGTATGGTTAGGGATGGTATTTGATTCAACTGGTAGCCATAAGACAGTGTCTTCTCCATAGTAAGTGCTCAGTGATGCTAAATGAACTAATATGTGAATGAATGATATGTACTGGTTGGGGAGGTAGTTATACTTACTTAAATGTGTGTTCAGAATCCAATAAGAGATAAGCAATCTAGGTATAGAAACAAATAAAATACAGTTCTTGACCCGAATGCACTCATATTCTAGCAAGGAACAGAGACACATAAAGAAGTAGTTATGGTATAATGTGAAATGTATTGGACAGAGAACTGTTAAAGTAATATGGGACACAGTGCAGGGAGTGATTAATTCTTCTGAGAGGTCATGGCAGGCTAGGCTTTGAAGGAAGAATAGGAGTGCAACAAGTGGCTAAAGAGGAAATGAGAGAGAGAGGTGGTCAAATTGGCAAAACATAAGCAGTGAAATACAGCCTCTATCTGAGGAAAAACAGCCAGCCACGTTTGGCACGAGCTTCTAGTTGGCTACTTAATACAGCAGTGGATACAAGGAAGGCTAAAGAGAGGGCTTTGTGGGTCAGAATGAGTTGAGGATGGTTAGACCTGAAGGTTGCACATACAGATGCCTCCAAGAGCCAGGCGGGTGACCTACATGAGTGGAGACGAGGGCAAACTGGACGGTGTGTGGCCCTCGAAAGACAGAAGCTACTCTCTGGCTCCAACCTAGTTCTCACGAAGGGACATGCGCCAAAGCCAGAGCTTCCGATTTTCAAGAGTGACTAGAAATAGGAATTTTTATGTAAACTCTCCAGATGTTTAAATGTTGGCAAATGATTCAACTTTCTCTTCAAAAAAATCTTTGTGTAGGCCAAACAAAACATGTCTGTGGGCAGAACTCAGCCTTGGGGCCTCCAGACTGTGGTCTGGGGCTTCATGCAGCACTCCCCACACCGACCCACAGCAAGGATTCCATCCTCACACATCAAGACCCAGGACTTGTGCATGTATGCATATAAATGGCTGAAATAAAAGTCACAGGCAGCAATGCATTTACTCTATTTTCTATTCTCTTCTATTTTTAAAATATGCTGGCCATGATCCATTGAACCGATTTCATGTTTCAATAGGTCAAACCCAAATTTGAAAACCACTGGTTTAGAACATCTACACTAAAGTTTTATTGGATGAAAACAGAATGAGGTACTTTCCTGGGCAACCATGCTTCTCTCCTGGGTACTCTTACGGTAGAGCTTAATGGGTATGCTTTGGTTAAGCTGGGTTACTTCCCTTGCAACTGGAGAAGTTTTTTGTTTTGTTTTTTAATTTTTTAATTTTTTTAAATTTAAATTCACTAAACATAGAGCATATTATTAGTTTCACAGAGGTAGAGGTCAGTGATTCATCAGTTGTATATCACACCCAGTGCTCATCACATCACGTGCCCTCCTTAATGCTGATCACCCAGTTACCCCATCCCTCCACCGCCCCCACTCCGGCAACCCTGGAGAAGTTTTGACAAAATCATTGTAGAAGCTTTTAGTGATTATTTTATCCTAAACAGAAGTTGGCCAGAATTTGGTGTCCTCTTTTTGGGTGCTTAAAACAATTAAGAACTGACTTAGCTGCTAAACTGAGTAATATGCTACTTAGGTGAAGTTCAGAAAAGCCAAAGGAAACCCCCCATTCAGGTCTCATCAGCTTCTAGGCCTGGTATTTCTGGAACTACTTTTTCATTTAGAAGAATTTTTCCCCCTGATTCTGCATCACCACTTCCTGTCACCATGTTTAGCGGGTTTCCTGCCTTTTGCATCTCAGCCAAGCAGAGAAGGACAAGTTCAGGCTTTGGGCAGTCTGTCATGCATCATGTCACCCCACCAGCCATGCAGAAGCTCCTCCCCTCAGTCTGTTGGGGACCGCGTGCTATTTATAGCATTCATTTTTGACCTATCAGAGCATTTCCAGAAATATTGCAATTTAGGGGCTTTGGAGAGACCTCACCCCTCCCTTGGGAATGTCTGAGGGCTGAGCTGTCCTAGCCAGCCTCTGGTGCAGCAGGAAAGGCATGGCCTTGGGTTCGGAGCATGTCTGCCATCACTCCCGTCTTGAGTGAGAGGCACCCCAGCAGTGCGCAACAGGACTCTATGTGAGCTTGGACTCTTGAAACAAGAGGCCAAGAGGGGCATCTTGCCATGGAAGGAACTGGTGTGAGGGAGACACCCTCAGGGAAAGGCCATGCCTGCCAGGAAAGCCACGCACCCACAGGGGGGCAGCACTAATATTGTGGTTTTGCATAATAAGTAGGCAGAAAAGGCAGATACTAAACCTGAATCAAGCCAACAAGGCCAGACAGAGAAGGGCAGCTTGCTGGGACAGAGAGCAGCAGATGCAGACTATCAGGGGTCGGGGGCCAGTGCCGGGCAGGATGACTGGGCAGTGTTTGGAGACGAGATGCGAAGGCCCCTTCTTTACAAAGCCTGTGCTTTGCTTCCCTCCAGGGCCCTGTTCTCACCCTCCTATAGCAAAGCAGCCCCTCTGGAGCTGTGTGGCCCGTAGCCTGCACATCTGCTGTACCCAGAGGCCATGTGCTGCCAGGGGCTGAATGCTGGGATTGGTGTCAGATGCACCACATCTCTGCCCCTTCCCAGAGGACAGAGAGCCAAGCTCTTACCCTGCCGGAGATCCCCCCTTCTCTTTTCCAGTAAAAATCGTACTGAGAACACCCACTTTTCTCTCCAGGTGGGGGAGGTTTGGTAAGTTATCGGATGAGTTTGAGCATTGGGCAGAATTATTGCTAGATCTACAACAAAAACTGATTTAAAAAACCCGTAATAACCATGACAGATTGTTTATCAGAAAGTATGGCGAGCAGGAGAAAAGGAAATGATTAAGTCTGGGAAACAAAATATTGTACAAGAAAGGGAATCTATTCACAGGATGCACCCCAGAGTTTAGGAGAACGATAATTGCATTCTTAAACACTGACCACAGATTTAACTGAAAATTGTGGTATCACCATATTGGTGATGTTTAAAAGGTACTGGCTGAGCTGGTGTAAGCAGTGTTAAGAAATGTAGCGCTGAAGCCAGAAAAACACCAAACATTGTGGGCTGGCGGGAGGAGTGGAGGGGGCAATTGCCATCATGCGTTATAAGCATATTCTTTTTTTATGCATATAGGCCTACTTAGTTTCTTAAACTTTGATAAAAATAAAAACATGGGAGAAAAACCATACAACCATCTCCATATTTTATTGTCAGGATTAATGTAAATGAGATCAGAGTTGTAAAAGCTTCACACGTGGATCTTGTCATGCCGTAGGTAGTCCATAAAGTTAGTTGAAGGTCAGCTGATCTGTAGAGTTTTGTTTTTTTTTTTAAAGTAATAGGGTAGGTGCACAGCTCAGAGCCAAAGGGAATGGCCCAAGATCCCTCTCAGAGAAAAGAAGATGAAAATGTAGGTGGTTAGAGAATGAGATCTGTAACGGATGGAGGGCAGCGTCAAAATTCCCTCAGCTGGGATTTCCGGTAGAGACAGGTTCAAAGCCTAAACGTGTGAAGCCCTTTCCTGGATGCGTCCATTTCTCTCTCATTCGTCCCTTGTGGTACAATTATCATTCCACTTGCCTCGGTGGCTTTGTAAAATTATCCCCTAAGCCTTCAGGGTTTTGTAGGTTTACCTGAAAAACAAGTTGTGTTTATGAGGGGAGAACTCTGCAGCCCAACTGTCTGAGTTCAAATCCCAGCTCTATGGTTTACCAGTTGTGTGACCTTGGGCAAGTCATTTAACTTCCCCGTGCCTCAATTTCCTCATCAGAAAATAAGGGTGTTAATAGTACCAACTCCATAGGACTGTTACAAGAATGGAATCAATTAATGAATGTCATGCATTCAAAACAATGCCTGGCATACAGCAAGAGCCCAGTGATTGTTTGCCCTTGTTGCTATGACTACCACTATCCCTCCTGGCTGAGGGAAAGCAGGGGCGACTTGTTCATTGTTGTGGAGTTGGGCAATCAGATTAGTTTCAGGACTCAGGCAAGTAAATCAAGCTGAGAGAGATGAGTTAAGGAACCAGGGAAGGCCCACCCGTGTGTGCTGGGCAGTCTCCGTGGTTTACCTGAAGCCGAGCAAGGCTGTGAACCTCAGGCGTGCCAAGCTACTCCAGGACCACACGAGTGGCTTCCCGTGGCTAGTAATTCCTACTGTCCGGTGATAGAACTTCACCAAGGAATTCTTCTGGCTGGGTTCGTGATGCCCACATCCCCTGGGCAAGCAAGCTGACGACTCCACTTCATCTCTCTGCTGTGCAATGAAACGAGATGTCTGATAATGACTTGGTGCCGGAACGTGTAGACCTACCTGGTAAAAGCATGGTTCCAAAGTGCTTCGGGCTGGAAGCTGCATGTGTTCAGGATTCTCACGGGAGGAAGCAGGCCACCCACCAGCAGGTGCCTGCCCACTTCTCCGCATCATCATGTCATGCCCCGGGGACTCTGTAGTTAGCATTTCCGAGGTTCTGGTGCCACCCTCGCTCCTCCGCACAGGTCAGCTCAACTGGAAATTGTGCTTTGTTGTGTGGTTCCCAATCAGAGAGAAACTTAGCCAGATTTGATCTGAGACTGGGCCGTCAGTAAGCTCATGCCTTCAGCTTTTGTTTGTTTTCTGAGTCAGAGACTTAGGCAAGCGTTGTTTCGTATGTCATTCGTTGAGTTTATTGACATCATCAGAATTACCTAATGGATAGACACTATCGTGAACCCAAGATCTTCAGCCTGCTCGCAGTTTTCCTGGAGGCTGTTGCTAAGAAAGAAAACCAGACTCGTGTTCAATGAATGCATGTATTGAACACACATTTATGGAGCACAGACCTGGTTCCGGGACTGGGTGAGACCCTGGGGATATACAGAGAGAAACAGAATGTTTAGATTGTGAATATAAAGAAAGTAAACAGAGATGGGTGGTGCAAAAGCAGGGAGACTGCCGTTCCTTAGATGCGCTGGGGAAAGTGCTCCGAGAGATGGCATGTAAGCTGCTTTCCGGTGAGACCAGAAGGAGTGGCAGCCGGCCTAGCAAATGGCTGGGGGATGAGCCTTTCGGGGAAGGGAGGAGGGCACGTGGAGATCCTGGAGCCAAGGGAACTGGAGCCTGGAGGCTGGAGGGAGAGCTCCTGGGAACACTGGAGAGGTAGTCAGGGGGGATCCTGGGTTGTGCAAGGAAAGTGCTTGGAGGGATGTGCTCGAATTTTGTCCTAAACGATCATTCTGGTTGCTGTGTGGCAAAGCGATCAAACGGGTGAGTCCCAAGCCCACACTGTTTGAAGATACAGACTCCCTGCGTTCCTCCTGACTGCTCTGTAAACACCCCCTAACACCCAGCTCGGTGAGGGGATCAATCGCTTCTAGGCATGTCCCATTGTTTCTAATCTTCTGACAAATCTCTGGGGCCGACACTGGAGTTGACGTACCTCTAGGTAAGTGGTGATCGTGAAAGCTCCTACGTAAGCCATGAATGGAGTCTGATGGTGTCTTGATCAAAAAAAATTTTTTTTCTTTTTTATGGTCTCTTTCCCAGGAAGGCAGCAGAGATGAAAGGATAATGAGGGCATTTTTTAGGGTGAGAATGTGCTGGTGAAAAACCAATATATACCTTAGTGGGGAGGATTTTATGCGTTAATAAGATGCGAGGCATGGGGAGGTTTTGGGTGGTTCCTATCTCCTTGTGTGTATATGGTTGTTCCCTTTGATTGCTGAGCAAACATTGAAAAGCTGAGACTAACAGACACTAGTCAAACCTGCTGGTTAAAATCTATAGAGACAGAAAATAGATTGGTGGTTGCCAAGGACTGAATAGGGGAAGGATCGAGGAGTGGCTGTTAATGGGCATGAGGTTTCTTTTGGGGGTGATGAAAATGTTCCAAAATTAGATTGTGATGATGATCACACAACTCTGTGAAAATACCCAGTCACTGAACTGTACACTTTAAATAGGTAAATTGCATGATATATGAATTTAATAAAGCTATTAAAATAAAACCTGTTTACAGCCCAGTGGGATAAGCTGGAATGGTACACTGAAAGTCATAAGGTTCATTGGATGAATTGACCATTCACTGGGTAGTACCCAGCAGAAAAGCAGGTGTCTGTTGCCAATAGTCTCAGAAGACAACACAACTGGAAATTCAACATATTTGAGTTTGAGGTAGAGCACATGGGTATTTATGACAAAGACCTTAAACTGTGTCCCACCATATTCCTGTATTGAAGCACCATGGAAACAGTAATGGCTTCTATTTCTCGAACACTCACTCGGGCTGTTGGGAAAGGTGCTGAGCACTTTACATGCATTAACTCATGTATCCTCCCAAGTATCAAGGTAGGATTTATCCCCATTTTACAGAAGAGGAAATTGAGGCTTAGGGAAGAATGGTAACTTGTTTCAAAATCACGGAGCTTAAGAGGGGTGCAGCCAGGATTCGCACCAAGTCTGTCTGACCGGAACACACAGTGACTGGCTCACCACTGGGGGTGACCCCTCCCCGCACACCATCATGTGAGAGCAGAGGGCTCCCAATTTGCCTACACGGTGAGCTGAGAAATAGTACTCTCTCAGCTCCTAAGAGATAAGCTAGACTATACTCTGGTTCTGTCACTCCTTTCAAGACCTCCACCTGGGTGGGGGCAGGGGGATAAGGAAGTTTAAAGTTTGTTCCTCAGCCCATCCTTGGAGGAGGCACAAGGGCAAACCTCTTCCACTGTCTTCTGTTCTGTGATGCCCTTCACTTCCTCTGTGCTTCAACTAAACCAGATTTCCTGATGGTCCCCAAACACACCCCATCCCACCCTTCATTGTCTAAGAGGCCGTCCCCTTCCTTCCCATTCATTTAAGTCCTACCCTTCCTTTGAGGTACAGCTGAAAGGGTCCTTCCTTCTCAAAGCCTTTTTTCTGGTTTCTCTTTCCCCATTTTACAGTTTTCTTCTGGCATGTGATCTGTTCTCTACCTTGTATTCATATTCATTCATTCTCATTCACTTTCTCTGTCTCCGTCTCTCCACCTTCCCTCCACCTCCCTCTATCTACCCAACTAAACGGTAAGCTCTGTGAGGGCAGGACCTGGGGTGTAAGGGAATGTCAAGGGAGAAACTCTGCCCCTTTCCCCTTCTGTTGCTCTTGTCCACAAAGAGACAGCTGTTGTTTCAGAAGACAACAGCTAACTTACCATCACCCCCCACCAGATGTGTCCCGGGCTCTCCCCCGCTTCAGGCCCTCAGGGCTCAGGGTGCCCCAGCTCTCTGAACTATCCTCCCTGTCACCCTTTCACCTGCAGCCCACCCCCTAGGGTCAAATCCCACTCTCTCCTCCCTAGAGGAACTTTCTCTACCCCTTTGTCCCAGCTTACTGTTTGCTTCCCTCTTCAGAAGTCCTCCCATAGTGTCTGTGCCTGTCCTATATTCTTCACCTCCCAGGAAAGATCCTGAGTGGTTTTCTCTCTGCGTTGATCAACTCCCCAGGTAGGGTTTCCTGTGGGCTGTACACATCCCTGGGATGCCCCCCTTCAGAGGCAGGGACGGCATGGCTAGTCTGTCTCTGGAGTCCCCATAGAGCCCGAATGACACGGCATGCGCAGCGGCACTCACTTGGTCAGTATTTGTTCGCTCTGTTGATAAGAAATTGCATCCCAAGGACTGGAAGGTTGCATTTAGTTTTCATGGAGGCATATTTTTAATGGCTCTCTGTTCCCTCTCCCCCAATCCCATGTTGGATTTCAAACATATTTTTTCTTTCCCAGTGATGGACTTCACTAAATCTAAATGTTCTTGAACTTCAAGAGATAATCTCTTCTCTCGCACTCAGGCAGATGAACCCCTGAAGTTAAATAAGAGGATGGTCAAACCGCCCAGAGTTGTGCCGGCACCTGGGTGACTAGGAGAACGCCTGGCCAGGTGACAAGTGTAGGTTATGATGCATGTTTGCCTTTTCTTGCAAAGGTAGCAGGCGAAGTCATGTCCTACGGAAAGCTTGAACGGACCAGAACCTCAGCCCTGGGAGGAGCTCACGTACCGAGAGAGGAGTGCTAGCAGTTGTAAAATCATGCCTGATTCTGCATGTTGGATGCTGGGAACTCAAACTCTTTGTTTTTGTCTCCCCACGGGGCATGCAGACACCAGAGAGATCCAGGGGAAGGCGAGTTGGTGTGTTTCTTCACAGAGCAGGAGTGGGAGTGCCTTTTTCAAATTCTTATTTCTGAAATCTAGAATTTTCCTGAACTAAGAGGCTCATTTTGCTGTTTACTAGTGTTGTAACCTCAGCTCACTGGTGTGCTGGTGAACGCTTAACAGCAGTCTGGGAGGGGAACGGGGGAAGGCCCTGAGGTGTAAAGTCTGCCAGTTTCCATGGCGTCAGGGCTACCCCCACCAACACCCCCCATGGCCTATTTTAAAGGACTAAGGCGGAGTCACTGGCCCCACAGTCGGGCCGGGCTGTGCAGAGTGGGCTCTCCACAGCAAGAGCCCGCTCCAGCTCCCCGCTCGTGGGGCAAGTCCCTTAGCATCTCTGAAGCTCAGTTTTCATAGTTGTAGGGTGAGGATGATTTGAAGTTGATGGGATCAAGGGAGATACTGTATTTGAACACCTTTTATAAATTGTGAAGTACCATACCCATATTCATCATTTTCCTTAGTTTGTCTAAAATGATATTTTTAAGCTAGTTGGTATTTCCCAGAGTGTCCTGAGCAGTGGGTAGAAGCTGCCAAAAAGAAAAGGCAAAGACAGCCGGGAGCTTCCGGTGTTCTTACCAGACTTGGGTGTGTACCTCACAAGGACACTTTGACCTATGTCTTGGTTCTTTCTTTTTTTAACCCCTCTAAGGTGTCTGGATTTGGAACTGGGGGGTAGAAGACAGTATTGGCACCATGCCTAAGCTGAACCCTGTCCCAGGACCTTAGGCCCAGATGCTAATAGACGGTGATCTTATCTCTAAACTTGCATTCCCAAAATGGCTCCAGGGGGACCTGGTCCCTCCCAGTCTTGAGCAGCCTATAAAGATGTGGTGTTCTGACCGCAGGGTTCAGACTGAAGCCACTGCCCAGTTGCTTGACTTGATCCATTTCTAAATGGAATTTCTAGCGCAGGGACAATGTGAGATCCCTGGATGACCTTAAAAGGCTCCATCAGATCTTAGAAGGGATTTCTTTTTTTTTTTTTTTTATTTTTTTTTTTTTTTATTAAGTTAACTCTACCCCCACCATGGGGCTTGAACTCAGGACCCTGAGGTCAAAAGTCACATGCTTTACCGGCTGAGCCAGCCAGGAGTTCCAGGAAGAAGGGTTTGAAAGTGTTTTGGCATCTAGATAGCAGCTGAAGCTAGATGATGGTGTGTGACATTGCCCTAGGAAAGGGCAAAAGGCAGGAAATAAGTAATAAAGAATGCCAAGGATCTGAAGGAGGTAGAACCCAATTTCCATTTGTAACCTTGGGAAACGTACCCACCTGCTAATGAGATGAGGAAAGTGGGAAAGTGTTTCAATTGACACTGGGTTCTGTAATTAAAAGAAAGGGAAATCCCAAAAGCTTCTGTTATTCTTTGCAATAACCC